TACACAGAGAAAGAAGAAAAATTAATAATTGAGTAGTTGACACCTCTAATAAAAGCGATTGTCTCTGAGATTTCGATTTCGAGAGAAATAAAGAATTACTAATTTCAGATATCATTAATATCAGTAAGATTCAGAAGACTCTTCTGCTTAACCGTTATGCTTAAAAATATTGCATATTTTAAAATAATAATATGTAACTTACACCAATTTAAAATACTACCTACTTTCAAAAAGCTACGATTGAAAGGAACTCATATAATTCCTAGGAATTAGTTCCATAGATTTCTCGACTCCAGATTGCAACCGCAGTGAAAAATGAAATCCTTTGTGGAGATTTGACTCATCGTTAATTTTAAAGTTTCATTTTCGTTTTATAAATAATTCACTTTTGATAAATTTTACGTGGTCATTAAATTCAAAGTATGATTATTATTTCAGTTCTTTGCTTGGTTACTAGACCGTACTAAGTTACCTATTTATTAAGCATACTTACAAAAAATATGTTTAGAAACATACTTATTGAAACGTTAACTACCCTAGGAGTAATTGATTTCCTACGTGTGAGTGAGTATATTATTGTCTTGTACTCATAATTTGTTTCGACTGATATTTCAGATTGTGAAATATATTTTTATATTAAACAATGCTTACTATAATTAAAACCTTGAGTACCTAGGTCCATAAATGCAAGGCAATTGACCTAGAGATAAGAAGTCTTAACGTTATCCTTGTTCCTGTCCTGTTCAAAGACGCTTGTTCAATATAGGTGTCTTGTTGACTCTAATATTGACACGTGTTTAATAATTTATATCAATTAAATGTTGTATCTCATCATGCTAGGTATTTATTGGTAGAAGCAGACGTATTGGTAGGTACATCATAAAATATGATGTACGCAACTAACCAAGTTATCAATTGAGTTGCATCATAGAGTCTATTAAAAGTAGAGTTTTATTTTTTAAGTTCACATGTATAAACTCATGCTGTTTGTTTCCTTAATAAAGAAAAATAAAAATAAAATAAAATAAAAATCTATAGGTACTTTATAAAAACATTCGGATTAATCAATAATTCTTTTCAGGATCGCGGTTACTACCATGTATTACAATACTTATGCCCGTATTAACATACGATGCTTGCTTAAGTGAAGCAGCAAATCGAACGCACAGCGTTGAATAGAGCTCTGTGATTGGTTCGTGTTCGTGTGTCACCCTGTGCGTCCACGCGCACTGTGAGACCTCATACTAACGATTGTGAATACGGGTGTTAGTTTCATCTATAAATACTGCACTTTATCTTTTTTAATTCCATAATTATTTGCATTCTAGTTGTAAAACATAAGATAATATTTGTTCAGCGGTTTGTTAATAAGATCATATTCATATTTGTTAACCAAATAACATGCAAGTGAGTGTGCTCTCGATAAATTGATAACATCCTTTTCTTTATTATTGTCATAATGAGGTCGAGACAGTGTCATTGCAGTGTAGGTACGAGTATTTCATCAATAGCCAGTCATAAACTATATGAAGTTGGAGTTAAAATTATGCAAAAAATATCTCATAAGTAGGATAATGAACCCATTATCCGACGCACACGCTGTAGATCAAAATCGTAAAATCTGCATATTTGGCAGAGAAGTTTACCATACACTTTTATGGGCAGTGAGACTAATGCATTGAAAATAAATGTAAAAGACTCTCATGAAAGGGCACTAGACTGGATGCAGTTGATCTTTAGTTCTTGTGTACATTTAATACTATTGTTTTTATCAGTTACTGAAGGCTAAAGGACAATAAGGATAAAACGCTTCATACTGCTATATAAATAAAATAAAGTAACTTTATTAAGGTCGTTTTATATTATTGAACTTTCCTTTAAAGGATGCACAACCTTATGTGGGAGATGGACCTTGAAATATCCAAAAATTATGTCACACATTATTTAACTGTATACAGGGTGGAAACGATAAGTGATCTCACTCGATTATTTCTAAACTATACAAGATATCGAAAAACTGATTACTGATCCTGAAAGTGCTTCACGAGCTCTTTCAAACGATATCAGTAATAGGTTACAGAATTAACTGGATCTATCTGAAAATTCAATGTTTTCAGCCTCCATACTAAATGTATGCCACTATGCCAGCCACATAATATTATAAGTATTTTTTATTTTATTTTAATTAATAAACACTTAAAATTAACTCGTAAATTGCATTCTAATATAAAATTATTAATGGAAAACATTGGTTTTAGGCTTAACTTGCTATAATATTATCAAAACCTGAGTGCCATGACTGTGGCAGTACTAAATGTATGGAAGCTGGAAACATTGAATTTTCGAATAATTCCAGTTTATTTTATAACTTATTATTGATACCGTTGAATAGAGCTCGTGAAGCACTTTCAGAACCAGTTTTTAGATATCTTGTATAGTTTTTAATATTATGTGGTTTTACTAAATGTATGGAGGCTGGAAAAATTGAATTTTCCGATAGATCCCGTTTATTTTGTAACCTATTATTGGTACCGTTGGATAGAGCTCGTGAAGCACTCACATCAGTAATCAGTATTTGGATATCTTGTATAGTTTAGAAATAATCGAGTGAGATCACTTATCGTTTCCACCCTGTATAGCCCGCAACTTCGTACGCGTGGATCCCGTTTTACCCCCTTAGGGGTGGAGTTTCGTAAAATCCGTTCTTAGTGAGCACCTACGTTCTAAAAGGAACCCCCATGAAAAATTTGAGACTCCTAGCACTTGTAGTTTCTGAGATTTCGTGCTGAGTGAGTCAGTCAATCAGTGATCTTTTATAAATATAGATAATACCTATCCACGTAAGCCAAATAATAAGTTTCCTTGTAGCCATACTTTAAATACTAGAGTTCATGCCAATGATATTTGCTTCCGGCGGGGTTCGAACCTGTGATTGCATTCCACAGCTGTCGTTGTATTCTGTTTGAAGTAGGCAAACCATCAGCAAATCAATAGGATCGTTAGAATAGAGTCAAGCTATACTAACTTTGGACATACAAATTAAATGATCGGAAAGTCATTTTTGTTTCTGAGTAGACTACCAAAGTTTGCTCGTGCTGGTGCAGTTATGCAAAAAATAAGATAAAAACTCCAAAACGACGTCGATTGCAATTGAGTTGGAAAACTTGTATTCCCGGTGCTATCAAAACATGAACAACGGCTGCATAACAATTTCAGACGTCGCGTCGATTGCGAGCGATTGGCCAGTGGCACTGTTCGGGCAGCTTTGCTTTTAATATTTCTATTGAATTGCTACTGGCATTGTTAAAAATATTTTGAAACGCATTTCATGGGACAAAAAGCAGTATTTATGTACCTACGAGCCCGCTGTTCCATAGTAATAGTATTCGGAATTGGAATAGACAGTTTAAAAGAAGAAATTAAAGAATAGATATCGGTTGAGACCTAGAAGCGAAAATGTTAGTACAAAATCACGTAAAATAGTCCTTCTGTAGTAATAATTATTATAAATTAATAATTGCAAAGTTTATTTTAAAGTCTATTAGTTAATATTAAATATTAATTTCACTTCGTTATCCTAAAATAGAGCAGATTTAATTCACCAAAGCACGAAATTCAGCGTTTATCTCACTATTGGAGGCAAAATTAGATATTTCACCGTTAAATTTAACGTTGCAAACAATTTCAAATCATGTGCATTTAATTGTAAAATGGTTTTATGCGTGCATCGTGGGTGATTAACGTTGAGCTCAGTTTAGTAGATGCGTGGTAATTATGATGTTCAAATTAGATGGGATTTGATGAAAACTATTTCAATCAAAGCTTCACCAAACTAATTACTTGGCTCTTATGTAGGGACCATTTAACCAGGATGAAATAATTTTCTCGATGATTAACCCAACCTACACAAATAATTACATATTAAGAATAATATGCGTAAATATTACGAAATATCCGATGAATATCTAAATTAAGCGAACAAACGAAACATAAATGCATTTAACGAATGAAACGAGAAACAAAATCCCGCATATCGAATGCGTCATTAACAATCGGAAACGTAATATTTTGTCTTCATATGACAAGAAAACGTTGGAATCTTAAGTTACTGATTTATGTTCAGTTGAAATATTTACTCCAATATCGCAGAAAGCTCTTCTAAAATGAGGTCAGACATTCGCCGCCGTTTCATTTCAAGTAAGTAGAATGATTCAATTATCTCGGAGTTAGTATTTGGCATGTTTGCGGAGCATGTGTAGTTATTTAAGCCTGAGAGGCGGTATTGAAACGCAATTTGCCTCGACATTTTGATTACATTTCAGAAATCGTGATCACGGTATGACAGATGTTTTGCGGAATATAAATTACCCTCTGTTTGGAGAAAACAGTACACAATAATGTATTATGTCATTGGAATAGTACCCTGTTATTTATTGACAACGCTTATATCGTTACAGTCTTTCACAATGTAATTTTACGCTTGACAATTGACAGATGAATGCCATTGTTTTCAATACATTCATGTTATGAGATAAGTAATTAAACAAATATAAATACAATCAATTAGCGTTTATATAGCTCACTATTTGGTGGACTATACTTAATGCTATTACATTTATTTAGAATTTGAAATCAGTGATCTTTAATCAATCCTTACGAAGACTCTACCTTGACGTGTAAATAACTTCGAAAACCTCTTTTGTTTTGCAGTAAAATAAAGTAAATATAGGTACTTTATCATTAGCAAGACTTTTATCTTCGTTAATTTATTTAATAACCGATTAGCGATTTGCAATTAGATATTTTTAGGTGTATTCCAACAATGTTCTTAAATTATCAAAATTACTCTTACATTAAAATTATTTATTTGCATTTATATTTATACAATTTTGATAGACTTTTTACTAATAGAGGCCAAGTGCGAATAAAAAGTCTCGTATCATACAGCAACATTAATTAATTTTCAGAACAACTAAGAATTAAAAAAAAATCTCTTCCAGTATGGCTTATACGCGTCGCTCCTCGGAGGCTTCATATACGCTGTAATGGGCACATGCCCTCAAATCAATATTGGGCCAACTGCGCTGCTGTCCCTGCTGACCTTCACGTATACCAGCGGGACGAATCCGGACTTCGCCATCTTGCTGTGCTTTATCAGCGGCATTGTTCAGCTGGCTGCTGGCATCGCACAATGCGGTAAGACTGATTTAATATGTTAATTTAGCCATTTAATATGTTAATTTTTAAATTGTAGTGTACCTTAAATTCAAATTCGTTTATAAATATGACATGACTAAGTATATAAGTCAATAATACGCCCGAAGCAGCAGTAAAATACATATCGAAAATTTTTTACAGACATTCAATTTCATTCATTCGGTTTCAGTAGATATCCCAAAATATTTCACCTTGCAATCAAAAACAGGCAGGTCTATATGCACATTAAGCAAACACACTCACACAGACAATGTTATTATTATGTTTTCAAAATTGCTAAAGTCTTATTGGCTCATAGTTTACTTGTTACCTGATTTTTTTCCTATTTTCCGCTAAAGAAAATAGCATACCAAACTCGATTGCTGAGCTAGACAACAAAAATTATAATCTCACGTACATGATTGATAGATACGAGTAAGTAAGCCGTCGACAATGTTTTTATGGACCATTTGTTTTTGTCGCCTACTCCGTAAAACTAGAAAAAATAAAATAACCCTCTGGACTCTGAGCGAGATCATTTCTCATTAGTTTTCACGTATTACAGGGCAGTTTAGTTGACACTGATAGTTCTTCAACTACCGTTTCAACTCCAACCAACTTCTATTGATTTGAAAGCTACTAAAAACTAATTTAATAACGATATTTTTTCTCCCTCCAGGTTTCCTAGTAGAATTCGTGTCACTACCAGTAGTGTCTGGGTTCACCTCAGCCGCCGCTGTCACCATCGCGTCATCCCAGCTGAAGGGTCTACTAGGCCTGAAGTTCCCATCGGAGTCTTTCATCGATACCTGGGCTGCCGTGTTCAAAAACATCGGCCAGTGTAGACTGCCAGATACGCTGCTCAGCTTGGCCTGTTGTATCGTGCTGTTTGGGATGAAGGTAAGGATGTTATTTGTACTTTTTTATTTCAAGTTGAGAAGGCTTGATTAAGTGAAAGCAACAATGGTGTCGATGTCGGGTCAGATCCGAGGAATGCGGGTTCGAACCCACTCGTAACACAAGCATATTTAGGTTACCAACAGGGGTTAACGGGGACTATTAGCGAATCTTTTAAAAATCGTATTGGTGTAGCTGAATAAGCCATTAATAGCCCTTTATGGTTTATGACTTCAAGAGAAAAAATGTCTGGACAATGAATGAGTTTTTAAGTAACATCTGAATTGATGTATTATTTTTGATTGTGAAATACTTTTAACAAATATTTGTAAGGAGACGGACGTCATGATTGCTTGTTGTTCATAAACCACATTTACTTGAACAATGGAGTTTTAGCAGTTCATTATTAGTATGTCAGTGTACAGTGGTGTCATTCACCTTTTTCTTGTCCTGGAATTCATATGTAATTTCGCATTTTTACTTTTTTGGCGTTTTGTAACTCAAAGAGGTAGAGGGGACTGGATAAACCGGTAACTTTGTTGATTGGATTTCAAAATATCGTTTCTTCAGACTAAGGCATTTATGATATGATTATTTTTTAAATATCTGCATGAAACAAAGCGTCCATTTAAGTACAACCAACTCTAAATATTCAAATATTATTTTCTAGACTCTATTTTCTTTTTTGCTATAACACGTTTTATGGCTTAATAAAAAAAACATTTGTTTATTTCTGTAAATGCCTAGTTAAGTTTAGTAGAGTCTTGAACTAACATTATGATATCATTATTGATCATGTCTTTCGGCCAGTTAACCCGTAAACAGCAAGAAACTTGCTCTATTCTGTGACTGAGGTAGCATTCGTAACTTTGTAGCACGTTGAATTACGCGATGCTTAGAGGTTCACCGGAGATATTATAATAGTCATTACACAAATGAGCTTGTTAAACAGTATGGGATTTCAAATACCTACGTTACAATAATACCTCAATGTGCCATTAAGTAAGTCAAAAGTCTCCGTCAATTCTAATAGCTCCTAGGTACCTGTTTGTACGAATACATAATTTGGGGGTTGACTAATAATCTCTTGGATGTGTGGTGGTTGTAATTCGATCAATAAATTATATTGATGTCAGGTTGCTTTGAGTTTAGCTTTACAATCAAAATACGACATTTTGTGTAGGTTACTGAAATTGGAGTGAATGAATTAGACTCCATAGTGCTCCTCATAATAATATCATTCATGTTTATGCTTTGCGCGAGTTAATTGGTTGAAACACACTTATTAATATTATTTTTTACCTACATAATTGCTTTGTTGTTATAAAAGTGAAGATAATATTGTTCATGGCAAGGACATATCGTGGGAAATCTTTTTATTTATACGCATCATTTGAAATTCTCAAACTTTTGCACTAATTTACATATACGAGTGTAACGTATTCAAATGAAAAATACGGAATGGTCTGGTAATTCGACAATTATCTGTGCGCTCTACATTTCCAAATACAATTTGAATATTTTACATTTCAGCTCCGTACAATTCCTCATCACACGTAATGGTTATGCAAGAGAAACGGTGGAACGTAGTACATCGTAAGGGATTCTCTTACACGCCTATACGTGACGCGAGTAATTGACGGCTAGGTACGAGGATTTCGGGGCTAAACAGGGATCTAGGTAACCTACTTGTCGGTGGGCCTTACCTAGGCACAGCCTGAATAGAACAAACACCGAAAGAATTTTGAATATTTCAAAAGAATTTGTCAGATAAAGATGTTCATCATTTTGATATAAATATTTTTATCAGATTGATCTGCTTAGATTTGGATTCAGTGATGGTGCTGAGATGACATGTCATTTTTAAAGAGGATTATGTTTAGATAAACACAAGGTTCTCCTATCTGATAAGCCGGTCATTCCCATATGCGCGAGATAAATCGCAAAGTTTAAAAATAGCGTATTATTGTTTTTATAATCTGTCAGAGTGAATGGAATGAAAGGTCAAGAGTTTTCCGGCTTTCTTGACAAATGATAATGCCCTACTTGTGATGAGTGATTTGACTTCTGTTTTGTTGATAGCACACAGCTAGAGTAGCGTGGCATAGCGTCAATGGCGTCGTGACCTTTTCATTACTGTCTAGCTAGTACGACGTCGTTTTGTCGAAAATTCGAATATGACGGGTCAATTTCGTATTCCGGACATTGCAATGTCAAGAAATATTTCCCATCCTCGGAGACCAACTATTAAAAAAAAACGAATTAGTCCCTTCGTTCGTGATCTTAGCAACACACACAGCGATTCATTTCCACTAACATATTAAACATATCATTTATGAAGTACATAATTCACGAAAATACGGTTTTCATAATTGATCATACCTGTGGCCGTAAAAAAGCTTTTTATGACTTAAGTATAAATACAATTTTGTGCTATCTGATTACATTTCGGCTTTGACATAAAGGAATTGCGTAATTTAATGCTGTACCACGTATTATACAAGAATAGAGGACGCGATTAGATGCTGTCTATCGTGCGGAGGTAGGGTAAGCTTTTGTGAATTCGAGCCGAATTGTACGTTGTTTTATGGTAATGAAGGCACTTCCCCGAATGAAACTCTATGCGGCGAATTATTTCAAATTTGGGGTATTTTTAATTTGGTAAGTCGTTTGGGATTAATTGATCGGAAGTGGCTGTATTGTTTTCGTAATACTAAAACGAAAGATGTTGAAAAATAAGACGTCATTATAACATCGCTCAAAAATAACAAATAAGATTTTCCAACAAAACGCAAAGATACTTTTTTTCTGATACAATTTCAGATTTCAGTTTTTTTTATCCATAACGGGGAAGCTCTTGGCCTGCATCTCACCTGATGGAAAGTGATGATCAGATTGATGGTGTAGCGAGCTTCACTGAGAATCCTCAACGACCGAGAAACTGGCTGTCTTACCTCAAACTGCCGGATATTTCAGTGACAGAACTATTATAGGACAATAAACCCAAATAAACATCTTGTGTTCCGTATAAACTTGTTCTTAAATAGATATTGATTCGTGCTTTTGTTCTATTTACGTAGCAGTCGTAATTATAATAGGACCAAACATAGCATTGGCCGGTATCAAAGGCGGAGTGTGCGTACCGAACCGTACGGCTCCGAGTTTGCAAACTTTGTTTCGGAGTAGGGAGTCCATTTGGAAATCAAGAAAGTCCTGACAAAAGCCTCATGTTTAGAGCTGATAAAAATGGGGTACTTGGAAAATGCGTCGGGAATTTGGGTCTGAGCTGATAAAAATGGGGTACTTGGAAAATGCGTCGGGAATTTGGGTCTAGATCTTTATTTAAGGAACATACAATACAATTTTAGTTAGTTACTATAGAAATAGAGTAAGAGTCTATTGATATCGTGCAGCAGCAGAAATAAGCATACACATTTTTTCCTTATGAGTAAAAAAATAGCCAAGTGTGACTTGGGCTTATACACGAAAAGCTCCGAGCATCGTACAATATTAAACACCCTGATCTTTCTATCTATTCAATACTTCTGTAAAGCGAACGCTAACTAACACGTAGGGTAAGTTGTATGGGGCCTCTTTATGTGAGGTTGATATCTAGATATATCCAGAGAAATTAAAACTATTGGTAACCCTATTCCGGAGTAAATAGAGACTAATTGTCTCACTCAGGCCTACCGTTCACGACGCTTTTACCTATATTTGTATTGCCCACCATTGTTTTACTATTGGGAATGGACTCAAGATAACGCCTGTAATCTGTAGAACGTTTGTTTACGTGTTCCTGTTTACATTTCTCTAGTATACGGAAATTGTATACGTACGATAACAATATGACCGTTCTCCTGATGAAATTCTATTAACCTCTTTAAATAAACCATAAACTTTAGGTACATTTTGATGCTTATGATGGAGCTGAGTGTTATGAAAGAAAAGTAAGTAGGTAATAAATAATAATACTTAGTATTCAGTTCATTTTATATAGTTTTCACATTGACAAAGTTATTTCTTTTATTTTCTCTCGTTCTCACAGCTGCAACTCCTGTGTGACCGCCAATAAAAACCAACCAGTGAAGGATAAGTTTGTTAGCTTCCTCTTGGCTACAGCTACTCGTAAGTCATTCTCAAAATTACAAAAATAATGCAGCTACCCATGTTCATTTTAAGCTGATTACAAATAAATTAGTACCACAATCTGCTAAAAGAGATGAACATTCTCCTAATCGTAATGAGCCGTGAACAGTGAAGTGCTAAGTGCGCGCCCACACTCAACGTTACCTGTTGATGTGCAGTGAGCGAGCGTATCTCATGCAATGTTGTGAGGGCGGGCGGCGCCCTAATTATGTTACTGCACACTTCCGCCCGATATTCAGGTGTTTAAGAGTCTAGTGAGAGGGGAATTAATGATTTTCCTCATTGGATTTTTGGTTGTAAACAATAATTTGAGGTGGGGAGGAAAGGAAAATACTGAAAATTGTTTTATTTAACGGAAATAAATAAAATTCTGATATTAACGAATCTTTCTCTAATTGACAACTTCGAAAAACCATAAATAAATACTTTAAAAAGAGTGTTTTATCTTCGACAATCATTAACAATTGCACGCTGCATGTTTCTTACTTGTCACATCAGAGGCAAGTCTTAGAATTTGCCGCTTAAAAGGATTTAGTTATGTTCCAGCCTCCATAGGAGATTTTAGAATCTTTTCGATATCTTGGTTAAGAAAAGTGCTTTTTGTCCAAGCATTTTTGGCAAGTTAGTGCCAAGTTTACTTTAAATTAAAGAGTAGTAATCGGAGAGCATTTTGCTAATTGCTCTACATAATGAAGTGCTTCCTTTTCCCTTTGCATTAAAGTCGTGAAAGTGTTGATAGGTTCGTTTGCCTGCCGACATGCCACTGTATTTTTCTTCGAACATAGATTCATTCTTCTGTTTACTTCGCGTTACAATGTAACATAATTAGGATGGTTCATAAGGAAAACAACCCCGAAAACAAAATGCTTATTCAATTACATTGCTATTATCTCAGCGCGTCTTGTTTCCTTTTTGTTTCGTTGGGCACGCAACAAAAATACCAATCGGCATTTTAATTGAAAGGAGAGTGACGTAAAACAGGTTCACAAAAATATAACCAAACATTCGTGGCTTCAACTTCACCTCGCGTGAACATTGATATAAATTTTTAGAGTTCGTAGTTAGTTTTTTGTCAATTTGTATGGATATTGAATATAAAAAACTAGGCTGAGTTGCACCACCTAACTTTGACTGTAACTATAACGATAACCGGTGCTTTTTGTATGGAGTTTGACATTTTTTTGACGTTTGTTTTTGTAAAGTAAGATTGTGTAACCCAGCCTAACTTTATTAGCAGATTAATAATTTGTAGCCATAATGTTATATAGTTATGTTAGCATTATCAGTATAATGATATGTTTAATTTGTACAATTCTGTTTGTATGAAACCATAAAGAAGGGAAAATAATAACAGAAAGGCACTTAAAAATATAATTAATATAACTTGGAAATACCATGACTTGTTGAACTCTAAAGGGATCGAAGCCAATGCAAATGCTTGCCTAAAATAAACACGAGCAATTATAGATTCAAAGCACGCTTCTGCCGAGTCTATACATTTCTTAGCTCCGATAATTACGTAAATAAATACGCTGCAATTAGCGTATGCTAACATCTTTGAATTTCTTAAAATGAAATTATTTACTCGATGGTAATTGTTCTTGGAACAGGCGATGAAAGATATTCGGCTGAAGGGCGTTGAAGAGGAGAAAGGTCGGCGCAGTTCTGCGATCCTTCAGAAGTGCTTCTGGTTCGCTGGGGTGGCGAGGAATGCGGTGGTGGTCGTCTTCGCGGCGGTGGTTGCGTACTGCGTGTACCAGGATTCGCAAGAACCTTTGATTCTCACTGGTAAGTGTTTATGCTAAGGAAAAAAGCCTCTATACTGTTGTTATTTGGTTGCTTTATTACGTAATACTCGTATAGTGGACAATATTGTAAATTTTCTAAATCATTTTTGTATGCATGCCAATCTTTGATAATATTCTACAAACTGAAATTAATTTCAAAAACTCATTTTTGCTATGCGGGTGTTGAAGTCAATTAACATAGGCATTCGGTTTTCGCTCTAGATAGATATTAGACCAAAAATATTTTCTCTTACGCCAGTATTTTTCATGAGCTTTGTTAGATTATTTTTTCAGCCCATTAATTTAATCCACACTTTCTAGTAGTTTGGATAGGTATATGGTAAAAATAGAAATAACGGCTGCCCGTAGTAATAGATTGTAATGGGCAACAGAGGAATGCGGCTATACTAAACGCACCCGCATCATACCACTTGATAAGACAACGTATTTGACACGAAAATTCGTGAAATTTTTCGAGCTTTCTAAAGGCAGTTTCTAATTTATAAACAATTAAGTAAGCCGAGAACAAAGCCTCCACAGGCGCGATTCACAAGTTAAATTACATTTGTTTTCAAGAAATCCTGATTCAGGTAACATAACTCTCGGGTTACCGCGACCGCAGCCGCACGCTTCACGCGTCGCCCGACGCGTGCTCGTAGCTTGCTTCTACTGTTCTATTAAATTTAGACAAAATATTATACTAGACTGTATTTTCTGTACTTTGGTTAAGCTAAATATAAGCAAAAAAGTTGGAAGAAAACGTTCGCATAATGAACAGGAATTTTTATAATACATATTTAGGTCCTCCTATATTTAGTGTTACGAAATGTGAACTGTACCTCTAGCATGAACAACTTTCGTCTTCGAATCGTTTGCGTATTCGACAAAATTCGATAATCAACCTTCGAATTAAACGATAAACGTGACAATTTTGATTCTCAAAATAAGTTTCGTACAACCATTTCTCATACTAAGTTCACTTTACGATGAGTTCACAAGGGCGCTGTTGTAGTTTACGTACTAAATCTTTTGATGGCGATTCGAAAACGCAAACGATTCGAAGTCGAAAGTTTTTCGTGCTAGTCGTACTGATTGTGGCACTTCGAAGTTAAACATTGTTGCCCGTATTCACATTCATACCCGCAGAAAACATGCTCAATGCATTGTATTCGCATTTTGATCATAAATATTAGTCAAATACGAGTATTTTTAGACTCACTGTTTCATTGATTCTTTGACCTATTTACATAATTATGTGTAGAAGCAAACTAATACAAATTGAGGCAGCTCAATTTTGTATTCCGAAAGAAATCTTTATCTTCATTCTCAGCATAAAAATGACTTCACTCGACTGTTAATTAACATTTGTTGCCAGGCAATATAACGCCGGGATTACCCAAGCCGCAGCCGCCGCCGTTTTACACGAGCGTGGGAAACATGACGTATACGGCGGGGGAAATGATTTCCCACCTCGGCTCCGGGCTGTTGGTCGTCCCCATCGTCGGCATCATATCTAACGTGGCCATTGCTAAAGCTTTTGGTGAGTTTGTTTTGTTAATATTCTTGTAATGACGCTGCAATACCTACCATTTTTTAGTCAATGAAAACATATTGTCAAACCTATCTATATGGCGGCGGGGTAAATAATTTCCCACCTCGGCCCCGCACTTTCCGCTCGTCGCCATCATCCCTGAAGTAGCTCAGGCTTTAAAGGAATCAATATAAAAAAGAAAAATATTCTAACACTGATTTGTTGTCGTCTATTTAAGTCTTGATTTTCTGAAACACAGTCACGATCCAATCACAAATAATGACCACATTAAGATATAAAAAAAACAGGCGTAGTGTACCTACAAAATATAATGGGAAGATTATTGTTATAAACGTCCGCAAGCCGAAAGGTTTGCAGACATCGTCATTAGTGTCCGAATGCTTTTAAGACCTAGACGCGAGTTAAATGAGGTATATCAAATGAATGGATACTGCTGAAAGATCCTTAAATGGGGCTTGGCTGATTTATGAAAAAATATTGTGGTCTAAATATGGTCCATTGTTAAAAAATTCTTATTTGATAAATTCAGTCACGGGGTAGAATATAGGTAGGTATTTAGCTTATTTTGGTTTTACGTTGTACTATGAAAAGGCGCCTGATGTAGGCCGGCTATCAACTGGTCAATTATATGGTAATCATTGTGGAAAACCTTGGGGGAGGCCTTTGTCCAGCAGTGGACGTCATTTGGCTGAAACAACAACAACAACAACATTGGGGGAGGTCTATTGTCAGCAGTGAACGTCCTGTGGCTCAAATGATGATGATGATGGCTATGAAAATATCTATGTAAATAACTTGGGCCAAAAATTTTCAGTAAAAATATTCCATTAGGCTTTTTTTCATTTTAGTCTGTAACGTATTCTAGTCTTATCGAATTATGTACCTACATCAGACAAGTTTCTTTGAAATACTTATTACTTAATGTATTAAAGTAAGTACATTCAGTGCTTATTTATTACCTCGTTCTTACGATTCTCACAAGTCACGTATATTATAATCAAGGAGTACATAACCCTCAACTGAATATGCCCTCTGCTAAAAGTATATTGTATGTACGTACATACATTTAGGTGTATTGTTTTAAGTCTAATGGAAAATTTATTTGATGCTCAATATAAAGTGTCCTCAAACTAAGCAATGCTTGTATTTATGTACGAATATTGTGAATATTATAAGCATACACAAACGTCCATGAGCTTCAAAAATTCCTCTTCCCACTAATAATTGGTCCCCAATAGGACTCGAATTCACGACCGTGGCTCGCTTTGTAGTAATATAAGGTCGCCAGACCTATGAAAACAAGGAAATACATAAGGCTAAGCAACGCTAATAAAAAAGAAAAATATGTGACATGCGTTAAAAACCGGCCAGCGCGTGTCTGGGTTTTACTAGGTACTTATTTGCGAAACGTAATTATCGATTAGGTGATTATTTACAAAATACGCAACGCAGAGACGGCTATGTTCAAAAGTTTTAAGGCGCTATTGGCACAAGTCACTAACACCTTTTGTTTTAAGGTTTTGTTTGTGTTAAAAAGTCACTGTACGATCAAAATATGAGTTCCTATTAACAATTCTTTCTGCTGAAGTATTTTAGCACATTCAAATAATATTGTGATTAATTTAATAAATAATAAATTATTCAGAAATTTGAGCCGAATTTTTGTATGCCCGTAATCATCATCATCGTCATAGGCCATAGGACGTCCACTGCTGAACAAGGCCTTCCCCAATGATTTCCATGTTGACCGGTTGGTAGCGACTTGCGTCCAGCGCCTTTATAATGTCATCGGTCCACCTCGTGGGTGGACGTCCCACGCTGTGTTTTCCGAATGCCCGTCCACAATAAATATTCATTTTTACAGAATCATTAAACAAACCTATTTTTCAGCTCGCGGAAAAACTTTGGATGCGACTCAAGAGATCATAGCACTTGGCGTGTGCAACGTGTTCGGGTCTTTCTTCCGCTCGTTCCCGACCAACGGCTCTTTTACACGAAGCGCCGTGAGCGACGCGTCCGGCGTAAGAACGCCTGCTGCGGGATTCTACACCGGTACGTAATAATACAGCTACATGAATGCATCCATATCCAAGGTGTAGATAGATTTTTACCCTAAAAGACTCGTTATTGCACGAAGGGACAGTAAGTATCCAGTAGCCTGCAGTTTGACGCTAAGATTGCACCCTCAAGAGATAGCGCTTGGCATTTGCAACGATCTTCCGTTCGTTACCGAGCAACGGCTCCTTTACACGCAGCGCAGTGAGCAATGCGTCCGGCGTAAGAACGCCTGATGCGGGATTCCACACCGGTAAGTAAAGATTAGCAGTAGCGCACAACATAAGACAAGGCAAAAAGGCTTGCTGACTCAACTGCTGACGCCTGCAGCGCTTTTACACTAAGATTTGTCCCCCAAAATCGTAGCACTTGGCGTCTGCAATGAACACGATGGTCTTTCTTCCGCTCGTTCCCGATCAACGCCTCATACACTTTTTATTGTACGTTTTCGTAGCAGAAGTTACATTACGATTAGAATTACAATTCGTTCCTTAGTATCCGAGTATAGCCTGAAATTTTCTGGGCTTTCCCCACAAACATCTTATGTACTTTACGCCCATCCGGCGCGCGGGAAGGATACAAAATGCAGTACAATAATTTTGTGGTTGAAGTCTTTAAAGCTCTCTTCCATCCTTTTCATATGCTCGCCTAGTCGCAAAAATAGTCATGAAAATAGAATAACAAGAAGATCGTGAAAATTTTAGTAGTAACAAACTTACACTTTGATAATAATTAATTAACATCGTAGACGTTAAAAGGGAGACGTTATTATCTTTACGTCAAGATCGCTACCACCTCCTTAAAATATTTTTACGACGCTTTTGTTCTGAATAACTCTGTAACAATTTGTTACCATTCGCCATTATGTTCCGACAATTGTCGGGATGAAGGCTTGGCCAACTTTGTCAACGTTAAGGGCCTGTTTCTCGTTTGATGATGTCTCGAGCAATTACCAAAGCAATTTTAACAGCCGAATCAAAGGCGATGGTTAAATCCAACAAACTTTGACACTCTGAGTTCGTCAATTTATCTTCTGATTAAGTTACTTACGTTTCCAAAGATTGTGGGCTTTACGCTCGGTACATTGTTAAGGGTTGCTCAAGCTTAATATTGAAAGTATAATTTATTGTATAAATAAGTATTTGAAGTGGCGAAACGTAGTTAAAGGTCTGAAGGATAATCCTATTACGCTGTAAACGGTTTAGCTTTTAATCTGCGTCTTGAACGTCTTATCCTTTGTTTTAAGATGTAATATAATTTAATTGAATTTAAGTTGATGTTTAGTGGGTAACAAATGAAGGAGGTGAGTTTTATCGCTTCGAGAATGACTTGGTAAAAGTTCGAGAAGAAAAATCTTTGAGTCGAATGGAGTCTGCGACTGTAACCCAGGACTTTTAAAAGGTTTTCGTTGGCTCGGCATTAGAGTTGGTTACTAGGATCACGTTACATTTTTATAAGCTCTAATGTTAGAAGCATTCTTGTTTTGAAACTTTCAAAGAACATAACAGTAACTTTTAATGAAAAATAAATTATGCCGTATCTTCACACAATGCATTGTGGCACGGCGCCATGCAGTATTGTTATTATCTATGTAATGTGAGATGTTTTTCTCGTGTATGACAGTTTAGAATGGATAGGTAGGTATGGGGATGGACGGATACTTTAGCTTTGTTTTAACTTTATAAAGTATAAAACTTAAAAAAGAAAAACAGATGTTTATGTGGAAATAAAAATTATCATGGACTATCAGGAATATTCATATTCCTTGTTCTAATAATTTTAATCTTGACTAACTAACCTATCCTCGTGACCTAAAAGCCTGAGCCTGTAAATAAAACCTAAGAGCTCTGTAAAAGTATAAAGAGTACCTAATGGTGATTTATGCGATGGTAACATTTTGTGTCTACGTTCACGCCGTTAGCCAGACTGGACTAATCACCTGTCGCCTGGCAAACGATCAGTAATATTTTAACCAGATAGCAACTTGAAGTTTATTAAAGTTTTTCCATTTTCAGTCACATGCACGCTCTACCTATTAATTCTGACATTTTTATCTACATAATATTGACGGTCGCTTAGTGTAGTGATTCGTTTTGTACTGGACTAGTATGCCAGAGGTCGAGGGTTCGATCGCCGCACAACTTCTGTGTGCATGAAAATCTGTATACATTAGTCTATTATATAATTAGCCAGATAGAGAAGACAGTACCCAGATAGTTTGGATCACACGGACTACCATAACTTTACAAAAAAGTGACATCATAAACCCGTATACCGGAACAAAATCCGGATTTGTTCTCCATGACAAATGCGGGTTGCACCATACATCATGTTCGCGGGCTTGAGCTCGCTTCATAAATCTAAAGTTCGCTCTCCACCGCATTCAAGTTTGAGGATTAGTTTTTAGTGCGCTTGGAAATTTAGATTGCTGTTGAGACTAATCGTCCTTATCAGGTCTTCTTCTTGAGTGTCACTCGCGCAGCCAATTTGCTCTTTATCAGGGAGAAATTAAGCACAACCTATAAAGAAATGCCATCATTCAGGAGTATTCTGCTACGCTCTGCAGCCGGTGGCTACAGGAACTGGTAATAACGTACAAAATCAGGATCAATCTAGATGAAATCAGGCCGCGCTCGCTAAGTAAACCTCAAGTTTTTAGTGCGCTTGGAAATTTAAAATGCACTAGCTGTTAGTGACTAACTGCCCTTATCAGGTCTTATTCTTTAGTGTTATCGCTGTCAATTAACTCTTTACTTAACAGGGAGAATTTAAGCAAAATCTATAAAGAAATGCGATCATTTGGGAGTGTTTTGCTCTGCTTCTGAAGTCGGAGGCTACAGGAACCGCTAATATCGTACGAAATCAGGATAAATCTAGAACAAATCGGGATGCAGTCCCGAAGACAAATGCAGGTCGCGCCATACATCATGTTCGTCGACTCGCGCTCGCTCCATAAATCTCAAGTTCGCTCTCGACCGCATTCAAGTTTTAGGATTAGTTTTTAGTTCGGGTGAATTTAAATTGCAGTTGTTGCGGGTCTTCAGTTACGGGTGGCAGTGCTTATCAAGCTAAGATGTGTTGATGGGCAAATTCTTTAATATTTTTAAGAGCAACACACACTATACCTAATATGGGAACCTAGTTAAACCAAACTTACTGTTAAAATAGGTAACGAGAACGAAGCTTGCGCCCTACCTGTGTTGTATGTAAAAGTAAAAGGTTTTCCGGAACGTTTTGTGACATTTAAATTTATAACGAGACAGCCATCGAAACGTACCTAACTCGGTTTGTTTTACACTGCGTTAAATGCTGCCCTAATTAACAGCTGCCAGCAGTAAACTATTTTTGTGCAATTTAGCACCTATTTACAAATCCCTACAATTTGTGCGTACATAGCTCAACAAAATAGGTGTAGGTGCGATACGTAGGTACCTAATAAGTACTAAATAGTACAGTTAATTGTAATTAAATCCATAAATTAACTTAGATGATAAAGTAAGGTCATTCCCACTGGAGTCTGAAATTATGATTAGTTGGTTTTTACTAGCCTCTGCTTGATTTATCCGTGAGCTTACGGGAATAAAGTCCTATGACTTTTACTATACTTACTGGACTATTCCCACCTCTCGTTCCCACCACTGCAACTCCTGTGTAGCCAGGATCTACAGCTTAACCGCCAATAAAAACCCAACCAGTGAAGGTCAAGTTTTCCATAGGTAAACAAATACATTAACAAACTTTTCATTACAGGTATCATAGTGTTGCTGACATTGGCGCTGCTGACGCCATATTTCTTCTTTATCCCGCGGGCTGCGCTTGCGGCTGTCATCGTATGCGCCGTGTTACACATGGTTGACTTGGCCATCATCAAGAAACTTTGGGCTACGAGCAGTGAGTACAATAACATAGTCCAATCTAAGTACCTACCTATCTAGATCTTGACCGCCAATAATACTAAGCCACGATTCGAGTATGTGTAGAGCAATGAGACGACCAATGTTTGCGCCTCAGACTAGCAGATCAGGTTCAGCTGGGATAGGTAGTACTCGTACTCAAGAATATTTTTTGATTTAAATTTAGAATATAACGTTTCTTTGCGAGATGAATCAGAAATTAGGAGATCCGTAAACGAACTAAAGTCGCTGACATAGCCCGACGGATTAGCAAGCTGAAGTGGCAATGGGCAGGGTACATAGCACGCAGAACTGACGGCCGATGGGGCAGAAAGGTTCTGGAATGGAGGCCGCGTACCGGAAAACGCAGCGTGTGACGACCGACGAAATCGTAAAGGTAGCAGGGAAGCGCTGGACGCAGGCCGCTACCAATCGATCAACATGGGAAGCATTGGGGGAGGCCTATGTTCAACAGAGGACGTCCTATGGCTGAAATGATGATGATGATGAATGAGACGACCAATTATTTATTCGTAAACACTGGGGTGCTTTTGTACGTTAAATTAAAACATTACACGTTTATAAACTGCTTAAAATTTGACAACATTGAGGTTGCATGTACGTTCCAGTTATATTAAAAGTTAGTTTCGATGTTATAATTAACTTTTATGCTCCTAACAGTTCCACGTTCTGAGCAGAGTTTTGATTTTTAAATACTTTAACTAGGTTTATTTTGGCGAAGCGTACTTTGTAAAACTCTTTGGGAGGCTTTTATATGCTGAAATGATGATGAATGATTTTGACTGACTGAAAAATATTCACTGTTTCTTCATCTTCAAGTATGTTTCACTCAACATTGTTATTTCCACTAGCCTGAAAAGAACTGAAGACATTCTAATGCTCCTTTTTAAAATGACCATAAATAATGTCGAATGTAGTTTTAAAGGTAGGAAGGAATTTGAGAATACCTTAAACCATTAAATATAAACCCGTTAATGCCTACCTAGACGCAGGATAATCAAAAGAGGTTAAAAAGGGACACATTCTATTAAGCACAAAAGGGACAGCGTACTCCATTTGAATCAACAGTCACAAACGGAATACCGTACTCGATGTTGGTTCTAAATCGGCTTCACATTCACTTACCCGCCCCTCATAATCCGCTAAAGATTACAACGGACGCATCCAGATAGGTGGAATTTCATCGCGACAACGACCGTGAATTATTCCCGAGATAATCCAAGGAAAGCCGTGTTAGTATATTCCTATTATGCGTGATTAGCCAGATTTGAAGTCGAATTAATGTTTGCGCTGGCCACGCTTTGTAATTTGAAGACAGATTCGTAGAGAGAGGCACTCGGTGTCGATAGTGATTCGTCAGCTGTAAATACATAAGTGTTGTATGGGTGACTGTACAATGTTCTTTGTAAAATGATGATATCCACGGAAATCCGTGTTAGTATATTCCTATTATGCGTGATTAGCCAGATTTTGAAGTCGAATTAATGTTTGCGCTGGCCACATTTCGTAATTTGACGGCATAGAGACGCCAGCTGGTGATTTGTCACCTGTAAATATTGTGTAGGCGCCTATGAAAAATAAGCATTCTTCTCATAATGTAGCTCAAAAATAGGTATAAGACACTTATTCACATCACGATAAATGTTTCAGTCAGAAGCTTACTCAAATTAATAGATACATAATCGATATGTTTGCTAGAAAATTGCTAGGTTCTATATCCCCGGAATACTAAAGTTGTTAGCTACATAAACTATTTTATATTTAGTTAGGTCACAAGTTCTAAGTAATATTCCATTTTGATTATTTTCTACATTCAAGCAACCGTTATCACTAATACAGAGCATCCTCTATATCAATTTTACCATTTCAAATTCGAGAATAAGGTAAGTAATAACTACTCAGTGCGATTGTCTGTGCTCACATTATAATTACTAGACCACTAATCTCTACCGCCACCAGACTGGAGCGGCGGAAATCTCCCCCATTATCCCAGGAGCTCCTAATCTCCAGTCAGCAACATACCTATCTGCTATCCAAATGAGATTGATATCAATGATATATTGTTGTGGCATTCCCCCATTATGCGTGGAAACTGATATTAGCGAGGTTTTGACTTCAATAGCTTGATTTACGATTGTAACAACGCAAATACATTTGCGACCTGAAATAACTCAATCTGTTTATGCGTGACGAAAATCGTGCTTAATAAGTAGGTCACTTGAAATATGACTAGAGCTTTTCTTTTAACGGAAGGAGTGATATTTTTAATATAGAGTTCGCTAAAAATAAATATAAGGGAAATAAATTGCATCAAAACAAAGACTATTAATAGCCAATTTCAAATAATATGCTATGTGAAACAATTTTGTATTGTAGTAGATATTATCCCGTCTTTTGCACCGTCATACATGTAGTACCTACACGTCATAGTATCCAATTTCATGTACCTTAATGAAATTTGGTATCACCGTATAATTTAATGTCTCCAACCGCAAGTATTTATCATATTTCATCTATGATCGCTTTTATTGCTTTCATACATTATTTCTAAAGTATGATGGTCACATAATATTCGCGCTCGAGGCAAATCTGAATAATCCTAGGAATCCGCGCTAAGCTCCGAACGTTGTACGTGTTATAGCTTCGCCCAAATATTCCAAATGGATGGATATCATTGCCACTTACCTATATTATTCGGTTGTGGCTCCATTTGAGGTTGAACTCACTTTTCGCATGTGTTTTGACTAGATATTGACGCATCATTTAACTTGGTACGTGCTTAACTTGTGTAGTAGGTAATCTACAGTGTTATTATAGCCTGTATCTGTTCTAGATATGATTACTGAAATAAACATATAACCATTTTCTTTTTCTTCCCTATAACAGTTTAAAAATCTGGGTACAGACTGCCAAGCTACAGAGTAGCGGGTGTTTTTTTGCACCAAAAATGTATGGTCGGATGATATAATCATCAATGGCATTGACGGTGCGGTATAAAACAAAACGAAGTGCTCTGGATAATCACTCCCGCCGCGTATAATTGCGCAACATCATATATCACTGATATCAATCCCATTTGGGTAGTAAGCGATAGCGCACGTCCCGGGCTGAATCCTAGTGGATTAATTTAGAATCGCCCCGGTGATGTTCTGAACGTATGAAAATATTTCCAGGCGATTGTTAAAACGGATGGTGTCGTTTGCACGCAGGTTACTTCATTGTTAGGTTTGTGGTTGGGTCTTTATTTGAGAATAAGGACGGGGTGATAAGAGCATAAATACGTATGTGGTATCACCCGAAAACCGTACTTATTAGAAGGTGAATACTTGAAACTTTTCGATTGAAGTCCGAGTCTAATAAAAGCCAACGAAAGTATGTTAAGTATTTTACGACAATGTTCATCTACAAAAAATAAAATGGAAACTTAAAGGAAAGAAAAATAAAATATTTTCCGAATTTTCCGATATAGGTCGGAAAATCCGTCAGTGAATAATAATAATATTCTAATATAGTTTCTACGAGTATATTGATCAAAAGTATGAAACGGTACAATATGCATTCGATAAAATAGTTCGACATACCTACATAATGCTCACGAATATCCCGCACAATAATAGGTACGTGGTTCATAATTAGTAATTAATTAACTCGCTCCAGGAACAAATTTTGAAAGGCCGAATTTTCAAATCAAATTATCCTAATGTTTTGGTTATTTTCATATCATAATACGAGTACACAATTAGCATTGCGAATATTGGGGTAGCTAGGAAATTAACATTGTACATTTGCATATAACTTATAAGTAATTTTATAAGCGAATTGCTGAGCTGAAATAGAAAGTTTACTGGTTATGATTGTTACAGTCGACAAACCAAGACAGGATTAGGACAGTAATTGAAGAAAACTGAATTTAAAGGCATTGCGTAGTTGGAAAGATATAACAGACGTACCTACTTAGGCTAAGTTGCACCACCTAACGTTGACCGTAACTTTAAAGATAACCGGTGTTTTTTGTATGAAGTTAAAATTTTTGACGTTTGTTAAAGTAAGATGGTGCAACTCAGTCTAAGTCTTACGAGTCTATGACTATGATGTTGAGAAAAGAGGAGTTGTTTTTTTTTTTATACTTGTGTATCAAAAAGATACTCAGTAGACATTATGTGTTCCTGGCTAGAAAACCCACTCAGGATAGTTTAAAAATATGGAAATGCACCGCAACTTTTAATCACCCAAGGAACAGAGGTGTACGTTCGGTCCCATCGTAAAGCAAGCATTTATTATGCAAGAGAGAGGAGTATTGTATAAATGCCACGTTGCATAAAGGATAAATAGAGGTAGTATTTGTGTCTGCATTGCGCACTCATAGTGGAAACTCTTTTGCATAATACATCAGACGGCATCTGATGTATTTGTTTTTGTCGACCTATTTTTTGGTCCTGCGGGGCTTATACCTTCTTCAAGGAACCAGGGATGCGGTCTGTATCTAACTTCTAAATCGTGGCGATCCGTTTGACTCCGAATTCCCTAGGTGCGACCCTTCATATAGGTTTCATACTCAATCCGTGGACTTGTTTATGGTGGCATGGTAATTGACTATATTTTGCACTTCTTTGGGTAGTCGGACTGAAAAACTTTATTGATTTTTTCAATGGATGCAAAAGTGATGGAAATAAACGGGTGCCTCAAACAATAATTTACCTACACTTCAATTTGCTATCATAATATCTGCTGCTCGCTGCACTGTGTGAAGAGTTTAATAATTAATTTTAAGTGTGACTCATATAAAAGCGATATGAGAATAGACACTTTCATTCAATAACCATAAAGTATATTGGCAAACTTTATTAATAATTTTGATTTTTATCTTCCCAAAAATAGTTAATAAAACTTGTTCTTTGCAGGATTGGACCTGATCCCGTTATTCGGCACATTCGTTTGCTGCTTAGCGCTGGGAATCGAAGTGGGTCTCATCTGTGGTGTACTCGTAGACGTTCTCCTACTATTGTATTACCACTCGCGACCACCTCTGGACGTGAAATTTGTCGATGTGAGTATTTTTTGTATAAAATATAAATTAAAAAGACACGAACATATCATCAATTTAATTGGACAATAAATAAGTCTTCAGCTTTCTGCACGGGAATCGGAACATAATTAGGACACCGTGAAATAATATTAACATACCGTAAACCTGGTAAAATTTAATTAAAGCGAAAATTTCACGAATCGAAATCATTACCGGTTTAACATGGCTCTCCGAAATAAATTGCCTTCATTTGGCTTGCTAGACCATGTAATGAGTAAGAAGCGGGTTACAATCAAGCGCCCGCTGCCAAAGCACTATCAAATGTAAATTTATTTGTATTATTGAATGGGCGACAGACGGCGGTACTTGGCAGCGTGAGGGCAACCGTGTAAAGCGGTTCTAGTTCGGAATTACACGACCCATATCTAGGGGTATTTTATACCATGGACCAGTAATCGGCTTCATTTTGCATTTCCCTATTTTGGTAAAACAATATTTGCATTTAGTTTGGCTCGGTCTCGGTGGACATTTTATTTTGTTAATAAAATATGAGACTTGTATGCTGTGAAACTCGATACAGCAAACACGTTGTTATGTGAATTTATCGCATTACATGTTCAACTTCACAGTGGGAGATGTTAACAGGTGTAGAGTTTTGTTTATAAATGAAAAAAATTGCATAATGATAATGTTCATTAGAAATAGAACATGTAGTTAGGTACTTATGTCTACATTGTAGCTCCTACTTCGAAACGACACTCAAAAGCTCGTTTCTTCTCATTAGTTGAATTCAAATTATTTTGACAAATCACGGAACAGAATCACGCTTGATTGAGGCTGAGTTGCACCACCTAACTTTAACGGTAACTATAACTTTAACCAGCGTTTTTTGTATGGAGTTTGACAGATTTTTGACGTTTGTCAATGTTAAAGTAAGATAGCGCAACCTAGCCTGAGTGGCGCGTCGTTTCGTAACGGGGCTAAATGACACCGACTACGAATATGCTACGAGTGCTACAAATTTTTTCGTAGAAAGTTTTACAGACTAGCATGCTTTTGGTATCTGTAATGTATAAATGGTACTTAAATACATGTTTCTTTCACTAGGACGGTGACCTACCACCCCACTACGCGATTCACCCAGTAGGGGGTCTCCACTTCGCGGGTGCCGAAAACGTTAGATCGAAGCTCGCCGCACTAAGGAACCCCAACAACAAAATCAACAAGCCGTTAGAAACCCTAACAGTTGTGCCTACTAATGACCTAGGGATTAACCCTAGGTTCCCAGAGAATGGCAACAACGGTGTCGTGGTCAGATGTAGTACGAAGGCTTCTAATGTGTTGGTGGTATACTGCGATGCTTTGTACAGAATGGATTATACGTTCTTACAGGTAAGTTTTGTTTTATTTTATAATACAGTAAATCTTTGTGGCTATTTTATGCATAATTTGTGTCAAAAATCTTGCATATCAATAGTACTTTCTCGTAAAATTATGTCATTTATGTCCATTTTAAAGAATTTTAGCAAAAAGCAGCGCAACCTTTAAATCAAACTTCTATTAATATTTATTAATTTTGCAAAGTTATTTACTGGATAGTAATTAAACTGGAGAAAAAAGTAATTACTCTTAAATGTGAACGACCTTTTCTATTAAATAAATTATTAAACCATCAAATCGAAAACATAGTTACTTTGTGTACGTGTACTGTACACACAATTCGCGAATCTCCAACTCGTTACGCCGCTGAGAACTATCAGCCTTTTAAAATCTACTAGTAGGTATTAATATTAGTTCAAATAACTTTCCGAATCAGTGACCTGTAGAGCACCTTTGACTCAGGTCATACCGACCGCGACTCTAACAAACTATAGACATTCATTTTAACAATATTGAAAATATGAGGCGTATTAGCTTCATTTAATATTCCGGCCGCAAGCCGCAACGTCAAATCACATGCAATGTTGACGCGCCGACCGCAGCGTAGTTTAAATATCTACAAGTATACCAGCGAGCAAATAAGGGTTACAAAACACGCACGATTATTAAATGTTTGTGTGCTCACGAAGTTTGGCTTGGCAGAACAAAATATGAAGGGATTTAATATGAAAACCTATTAAATAAATTCATATTGTTTTTTTTCTTCTCGTAAAATTATAGGGCTATAACTGAATATGTATCTACAAAAGCTTTGAAAAGAAACTGATTTGCGATAATATCTTTTTACATGTTTCATTACTCATAATAAAACTTAGTATTTTAATTAAAAAGTTCACTTTTAATGTTGCTAAAATATGTAAGATTTTTATTAATTTCCCCTCACCCAATTCAACTCCTAAGATTCTGTCACAAAAACATTATTACTGCTTTTCAACTTAAAAGGAACTGTGAAGATAGTAAAAGAGCTTCGAAACTAACTAAAAATGAACACGTTTTACCCTAATTACTTGCTTCACTGGCGTCCCAAAATACAAAAAGAAACTTCAAAGATAGTAAGAGGGAGTTTTTTAAAAGGTTTTCCCGCGTTTCGCAATTACATTTCTAACAATTTTAACACCATTAAGAGTTCCCTTTCACCTTTAACGGCAGGTTTCTTCTGACGTTTGGTTTATCTCGTTGAAGTGCTCGATACACACCGTTATTTACTTAGTAATGCTTATCAACTAATTACTACATTCATCAAAGCTCTAACGTGATGAATTTTTAGCTTAACACACTTAAGAATAAGTAGTATCGTATCGGGAAGTAATTCTTAACTTGTACTGTCCACCAAAGTGTTAAGAAGTAAATCCTTTATTTGTAACACTTAAGACGGTCACAAATGCTCATTTCAATTATATTAACATTTCAGTAAGTATTTTAAATCGCTTTTTGCCTAAGCTTTTTGCCCTAGTAGCAGTATTGTATGTCAAGTATGAAATTGTTGGGATGAAATGTAACAACAAACTTTGCCACCACTATCTGTCGTTTAAAATAAATAAAACTGTAGGTACCTTACACTAAACTGGCACGTTCAGTCGCCCTTACAGCGCAGCGAGCGTCACAATTATGAAAATTTTTGGCGTAAAACCGCGACCGGCAAACATGGCTCTGTTATTTTACGTCCCAGCCGAATGTGTTTTCGTTCCATTTGGCTTCCGAAGTCGGGCTCGTCCCGAATCCTTTAAAGCATAATTAATTGACTTGAAAAAGGATTCTTTTCGACCCGCCTTCTGCGTACCCGATGTAATCGTTATTTGCCGTATGTCGAGATCCTTTTCAGTTTAAGCTTTTGAGCGGTGGGAATGTACATTATTTATTTGGGAACTTCGATGATTGGTCATACATGTAATTAAGCGTTTTTCCTGCTACAAAAGACTTTTAATTGTCTTCATCTACATTTTTATTGCCCACAAAGAGGAATTACTTCTTTCTCCAAAACATGTTTATTTTTGAATGTACATTGTGCACTCTATTCTATTTCTAGTGGTGTTAATTTTGGCTTAGAAAGGTTTTGTACTTAATTAATTTCAGTCAAGCTTAGGTTTTTGTGTCTGATGATAAACTAAAGATAGCCAACGAATCGATAATAATGATCGGAATAGGAAAACGACTTAGGTTTTATTTCTGTAAGGTGTGTTTTAAAGTATACCTACTATAGTACCTTCTGCAAAATACTATGATGTAGAAGTCTTTCACCCAGGCCCTTGAAGTTTAGTTCACAAAAGCCTCTACGTCACTTGACAACGGCTGTTGGGCTGTAAATATTATCATGATTATTAAAATATTCTTTCTATTTCGCAGAGTATAAAAATGCTAGTATCGGAATGGTCACGGAACGGTCGCGTGGTGTGGTGCAACGCCAAGCCTCTCGTCAAGACGCAACTTGACAGCGTGCTTCAAGAGGTGGTCTACTGTAACAGCGAAGACCTGAAGAGGTTCCTTAGTGGTGAGTAAACTTTGAACTTTATTTCAGCGTCTGCAGAGGCGACTATAGCTCATTGGTATCTACAGGGTGGAAACGATAAGTGATCTCACTTGATTATTTCTAAACCATACAAGATATCGAAAAACTGATTACTGATCCTGAAAGTGCTTCACGAGCTCTTTCAAACGGTATCAATATTAGGTTACAGAATAAACTGGATTTTTTCGAAAATTCAATGTTTCCAGTCCTGGCACAAGCAATATAAGCTTGCTTCAAGGTCTTAACGGCAATAAAATAGTAAATTGCATGTCATGTCATAAATAATTACAGATATGTTACAAAGAGAAAACTTGAGATACCTTTTACACTAATCTCTAGTGGGCACCGTCTACATTTGAAGACTTCAAAACTAGTTGTCTGTTAGGAAGTAGGTCACCACATTTGTTTGGTTAGGACAGGCTTAAATCAACCTGAGCTTTCGATAAGAAAACACTGAGCTTTAGGCTCCTAAGCCATCAAATCTGATCGAGTTGTGACATAAGCTTCTTATAATTAGGCACCTATCCTTGTTTTACAATTTAAGGAAAATCTATAATCACAAGAGAAAATGAAGCTAATTTAAAAGTACTAGGTAGGTACTTTTTAAAATTCAAGCCTATTCGTTAATACACTGTAAAAATGTTTCTATATCGCCGAAATTAGTTCTTTTTTATTAATAGTAATCATGTCTCTAGGTCGCATAGTTTGCGAGAATGAAGTAAAAATATGAAAAATAGGAACTTCAAAATTATCTCTCCCCGCCGGCTCAAGGGCTAAGGGCGGCGACTTTTGATATGTTCACCTCCTAACTAGTCTAAATAAAGTCACGAAGTCAGATATTGTGTTCCACGCATTTCCCTCCATAATACTTTATTGACTGGACTAAATAGACAGATCTCCCTACCCATATCAAATCCCCTGACTAACGGGATAGCTGCCAGCCCCAAAGGGACTGAAGTGACGATACAAGGCACGAAACTAAGTTACTAATCAGTCTGTGCTGTCGTCGAAGCGATCGGAGGAATAGGCTTCTCTTACACGCACTAATTATTTACGGCGTTGTTTTATGGACAATTTATATTTTTTCAATGAAAAATCTCAAAACTAGGCATGAAGTCTTTATTACTGCGCATTTTCAGTCTGAAAATGCCATCTTCATTTTTTAAAGAAAGAAAGAAAGAAACATTTTTATTTGGTAGGTACTAAAGATAAAACAATAAGTACAAATCAGCATAACATTTTCAGTCTGAAAATGCCCAGTCAATTAGACAAGGCCTCTTCAGACTGAAATAGAGGCATTTGCCTATGGCAGCTTATAAAGTTTGACATTGTGCGTCGTTAAAAGCTAATGTTTTTTTAACGGGATAAATGTTAACCTGTTTGCGGCTGCCTGCTAAACTCGCCCGTAAAACCCGCGGTCGAACCGCGGTGTGAACGCTAGGAGGTCCACCCCTACGTAGGTACACTTACAATAAGTTACAATTTATCGAGTAGGCTTGCTTAAAAGTTTACGTTTATACTCGTAAATAAAACGCTTATGGTATTTAATACTAAGTATTTTTTAGCTTCAGAAGCAGCTATTCATTATAACGCAATTACCAAATGTGATGGAATGATCTTAAACGTCTGAAAAAGATTTCTTTCTTTGCTCTCAATTTCATTTCAAGTACCTAACATGCGAAAAATATCACTTAGTTATTAGGTATTCCAACGAGATTAGAAATATGAGAATCGATCAGATCCCTGTCAAAAGTATTTCTATTTTGTTGCTATTGGTTATTTTTTTGAAAAGTGTTTTTTAAAAAGTAATTAATGAACATTTATAGTGTTCAAACTTCAGAGTAGGCCACCCCACACGCTCGACTAACTAACGCTTGTGTGATAAGCCCGCCCGGTGATATTTTCACCTCATTGCCGCGTGCTAGGTGCGACTGGCACAGTTTCAAACTACGTTTCAAAGCCAAATGTGTTCAGCTCACTCAGGTATTTCAATTAGTGCTCCGTTTTAATCGCCAATGCATGAATTTAATCTGAAATTAAATGTTTGTTCATAGCAAATCTGTGGCGCGGTGAATGATACGGCCGATATTGAATTGGCCGTTTCGATTCATTAGTTTTGCGTTAAAGTGTTTAGCGTTATTGAGTGCTCAATGATGCCGGTTATAACACTCAAAAAGCCTTTATAACCTTTATACAATAGGTTCATCTAAATATAGCGTAAAAGAGCTGTTTTCTTGTTTTAATTTTAGGAATATTTTACCTTACCCTTTGTCCTTTACACCTTCCCAAATAATTACTCAATTACATTTAAATGGGAAATCTGTGAAATATAATAATAAAGCTTATACAGATAGGTACACAATGAGTAAACCTGCTCACGGGTATAAATTAAACAGTGAAGTCTAAATTAAACCTCTTTTAGAACAAAACGGCTCTAACAATATTGTGAACAATAACAGGAACGGTAGTAAAGTATTCTGTGCTGATAAATTATTTCGTTCCAACCCCGCCGCGTAATAGCCAATGAGTGTAATTTGTTTGCGAACAAATTATACCGATTGCGGATATTTCGTTTCAATTATGCCATTGTTCTAGTATCTGTGGTTGGTGGACGAAGCGCCAACTATGTAAGTATACTGGGCGAATATTTCCAGAGCGCCTGATTGGCCAAAGAATCTGCAAAAATATAATGCTTGGAAGACAATAATTATGTAGGTACTAAGAAAATTGTATAATCTGTCAAATAGGCCGGATAATTAGTTAATTACTTCACCTTGGTGGTTATTGGGCTGTGTGCTATTGTACCAAATAAATTTCGAAATTTTGAAAACTCTTCAAAGGCTTCTAAAGATCCAATTATAGAAATTGGATAATGACGAGAAAAGTGTTAAGTATAGGCAGGCACTAGTGGACCAACTTTCTGGTGAAGGTTGCAGGGGGCTTGTGAAATACTTGGGGAAGGCCTGACGAAAAAAGGCCCGTTTGTTGGTTGAAACGCAGAAGAAGAAAAAGGTAATTAGGTAGCATAAAATGCTAATTTGACGGAAGTAAGTAGGTTTACGTATTTATTTTCGACATACAAAAGCATTTTCGCAAATTAGCTATCTAATAATATTCACTGTGTATTGGATGAAGCCGAAATCTCGTAATTGAAAACGATAAACGTTTACGCTCATGGGATTTCTTATACCGATACAAAAAGGCTCAGGGAAAATGACGCACGAAACAATTTTCGTGTTAAAATTTTGGATGGCGCAATATTTATTCTTTTTATGTTGCGTCCGCGTTCATCTGAGATTTTCTTTTCAACTGTTGAGAAGATATTGGTTATTATATTAGAGTAGGTCAATTTATTTTTATTATTTAGATTAAATATATTAAACTAGCCGACAATAGCCCAATTCGAGAATGGTTAGTGTAGAAAACTTCACTATTTGAACCTATTCCTAACACAAGTCTTACAAACGTTGCTTGTCAGTAATAGGTAATTGTTATAAAAACTTGACTTCAGTTATGTAAGATAATGGGCCATAAAAATAATCACATACACGTGATAATTCAATGTGAATATACCTTGATTCCAGTTTCGGCTCAGCTAGACAGAGACATGACGTGAGATTTGACGTTATCATTCCAGATATTCCTCGCCCGCCACCTCCTCCGAATTGCTCACTTACAGGAAGTTGTGTCGCCGTTGCGGGAAAATGCGTGACCGCACATTGTCCCTTTATGACGTGACGATACAATTATTGTATTTATACTTTAATATCGCCGTAAGTCATAAAAAGCAGGAGAAATATTTTGCATTCAGAATTTTCTTCAAAAATTTGGCATGGTGATTGCTGTCATCAAAGAAAATACTTAAATAATATTTTTAAGTTACGTTCAGGCGAGGCATTTTAATATACACTCTGTGACGTCTTAAATTAATTATGTACGCGAAACAGGTGTATTTTTGGAGCAAAATTGTATACTTAGATATAATTATGTGCTGGCGACTGTACTACAATTATTTACATTGATTGTGTTTTAATAAGTTTTATTTGTATTATTTCAGGTGTAGCTCTGGCCGACGAGGCTGCAATCGGTGACACCCATTTATAGTTTAGCATGAATCTATATTGATTTTGCTAAATGTTTAAATTATAAGCATACATTACGTTGGTTCGTGCGTTTCTGAAGATATGTCGTCTACAGTACTGCTGGGCAAAGCCATCCCCCAAGGATTTTCATACAGACTGGTCCTGCGCTGCCCGCATCCAGGGTACTTCCCGCAACCTTCACCAGTGTGCCTACCATGAGTTTACGTTAGGTGAGCTCGCTAGCGAATACGTCAAAAAATTATATGAAGATTTTATTTCTTGAAAGTAGCCGCTAGGAGCGCTGCACAATATGTCATACATTTAAATGTCATTTTTTTACGCAGTCGCTAGCGAGCACACCTAACGTAAACTCATGGTAGGCACACAGATCGTCGCACATAGCTCGTAGAGCTGAAAAGTTCTCAAGTGGCGATTACGGGCCGGAAGGCGTAGTATGGCCAGACCACTTGGTTGTGACTTTGTGGACCGACGATCTGGTGAAGAATACGTAGTATAAGTTAATTCTATAGCTTTTCATGTAGCGATATATTAGAAAAAGATATTCAATATCTTGTGTAGGTACGTCATAAATTATACTCTAACATTGTATTTACAAATGAAAATGAAAGTTCTACCAAGACAATATCAACTGATAAGTTTTAGATTTTATTTAGGTTAGATAAACTTAGTCCGTCCTTTTAAAATACCTCAATGAGATAGATCCGATGATGTTCTAATACAGGGTGTGTGGAAACGATGTTTAAGATATTTTTGGACTTCCAATTTAGCTTGGGTTTCTTATTAGTAACAAAAGTAATTAATTATAGTATCACAGGTATCGAACCTATAATAACACGTATTGGCGGAATATACTCACTTAGAAGTTCTTGTTTTTCTTACATCGTTTCGTCTGACAACTTGAATAGTATAGGTTTAAGCCGGGTCCAGATGGGAGTAACGCGTAATGGAATGTATCGTGTAATGTAATAGAAATAGTATGGGAGGCAGCACTTTACATGTAATGTTCGTAGTGCCGTCCACCCGTAGAATTCGTGTTACATCACACGGAATCTTGCATTACACATTACACCCGCCTGGTCTGGCTTAACGTTAAAAGTAAAGTTGCTGATTAAGAAATATCTTATGACCCTAAAGATTCATAGTCAAGTTTTTCTATTAAATTTGACTTGCATTGCATTATTTAATCAAAGATTTATCGTTATGTGTGATCCCTGTGACTGTTGTGATATTTTGTATTCAAATGCATTCATGTAAATAGTGTGATTTTAAATAGCTATAAGAGTTAGTATTGTATTATTTGATATTCACAAAAAAAAACAGTAAGTAAATGATTAAGTAAAATATTTTAAAATTAAGCATAATAAAGAAAAATGGTAATAAAATTTTATTAATAAGTCCCACAAGACCCAAGTTTGGGGTTATTAATAGTTCCTTCTAAGTTACCTTTAATGAAACTTTGTAATACAATAATTCATGTGATAAACATACATTTATTATTATTATAATTAAATACCTATTCCTAAACAAATAAAAATTGCCTCTTATTACAATATTGTTCCTATTTCTTACTCTTGGCACGAAAAACAATTGAAGTAAAGAATGGAAGTGGAATTTATTTTCATTTTGAAATGATTTTTTTTTATCTATCGTTCGTCCAGCTAAAAGTTACGTATAAGTATATTTAAATTGACAGTCATTGAGGATAATATTATATTGTAGCCTTTTTCATTTCTTACTCTTGGCATACTGAACTTCTTACCTACACATTACATGCCTAGGTTTTCAGAACTGAAACACGTAACACACACGTGACCACACACACACACACACACACACACACACACACAAAAACATAAGGATTAGAAAGTTTCATAACCTTAAACCCTTATAAGATAACTCAAAAATCGCGAAGTTAACCCAAACCTTAATAAAATTGAGATAAAACATGTAAATAAGGTACATAATTGTGACAAACAAATGCAGGATTTTAACTTAACCCATTAACGCCCGCCGTACAATAAATAGTACACAACTTTAAGTTACGATAAATCTGGTTTAGTGGGTATTTTTACTCTGGAAATAATTACAATCGGTAAACAAAGGTCTATGCATTATATCCTGAGATGAAACAGACCATAACGATACAATCTTAAGGGGGTATTTTGCGATTTCGTTTCAGTGATTTTTTCGTGTCTTCTAGTGGGTACTTGATAATTTTTTATGCAAGGTTTAAGTTACACAAAATACCAAATAAGTTGTTTGTGTATTAGCTAACAACATATCCTAATAAAAAATACAAAGAAAAGTTCATTTCATGGAAAGTTTTTCATGCTATAACTCCCAAAGTGATGCTGTACTAACTTTTGTACAATGGGCGCTTGACATGTTACGTAAAATAGCACAGTAACGACATTATTATTAGAGTGTTTACCTATTTCTTCATAGTTTTTATATGTAATCATTGTTTTCTTTTTCCAATGACATGGCTCTTTATTTATGGGGTTACAGACAACAAAAAAAAACATTTTGTTTTCCCAATTATGACCTGTTTGTCGACCTAAAGAGACTTAGTTACATAGTTTTTGGAACCACACGTGAAAACAGAACCAAACGGTAACCTTTGATTACTTATAAAGATTTTCACAAAAAGCATAGAGACTTATTCGACAAGCCAAACATAATTTTACTAGTATTGATTAAAAGATAATAATGTAAGTACTATTGGATCAAATTTTGATGCTTTAGAACCATTGGGAAAGGTCATTATTGGGGTCTTTTGATAAAAAACCAGTAGAGTTAGGCACCACAGGGTGTCCAGCTACAATATAATAAGAAGATCAGTGGGTTAGATCAGATGGCTAGTCTATAGAACTTTACCAAATTGAGGTAAAAGGAAAAAAAGCGGTGGATGGGTCTTGTTCGCTTATTATGGTGGACATGACAATTTCAAATGCATGCAGACTGCACTGCATAGTAAACCCATATAGTCGCTTAGATCAGCTAGCATTCCGCAAATATATAGTACGCACATATTTGACCTATAAAAGATAAATAAAAGTAGGTAGTCTTGCTCTAGTTGATGGAGAAAAAATATGAAATAATGGTTATAATCAAAATAAACCAGCAAACAAGCGGATTTGACAGCTTAAAATTACTGTGCGTTTCAATAGAGTCAAAACAGCTTATAGCAAGTGCCTGAAAATACTGTGCCAGGATGGAGAAAGCTTTGCTCAATATGACTCATAAGCGCCCATTGTACAAAACTTAGTACACCCCTGAAAATCTAACTTCTGATTTTGTTTTTGGTTTTCTTTCTGTTTAGTATTATTTTTGAAGTATTTTTATAAAGAAAATAAACATTGGCTATGTGAAATTGACCGTAGTTTTCATTTGGGCGTTAATGGGTTAATTAAATGTCAGGGCTTTTGTTGTATCTGCGGGTTATATTGTCTCATACAAAATGCCTATTGTCCCTTAAGCCGGGCTCACACTGGGAGGTAGAAGGGCGCAATAAAAATAAGCCCTTTTGCTTATTGACATACAAGGAAGTCAGATATTGCTATAGGAAATAAGTGGGGAGATCGTGAGGAGGGTGCATGCAGCAAGAGGGAAAAAGTAGATATACCCGAGAAGACTTTCGAAGGGCTTTTGGGCATGGGATTTAAAAAGAGAGAGGTCTTATACGCAGTTTATTCATCTTATGAACTGGAACGTTATGCGTTAAGAATAGCTACTTATTCGAGAATAGCAAGTAGATAAATAAGACATTTGTAAAATAGCATCTATTTCAACAACATATGATACCAAAATATTAAGCTTGATATGCTGTCATCCGTACCTTGTCTGTCGTCGGATATAATATTGAACAAATAACTAAACATAGCTCATGAAATAAGTTTTTTAGTTGTTAAATTTTCCCCTAATTGCTATCGTACCTAGAATTTGTCTTATTATACGTTTTTATTCATTATCCTTCTTAATTTACTGCTAAAAAGCTAAAGACGTGATTCGCGCTTACAATGACTTGTTTATTAATTACAACATTTTCAGTCGACAGCAAAATGAATGAAAACCGTTAAATTAAGTCTCACTTAATATTATTCAAAGAAAACAATTTGATGTCGTATAAATTATCACTCCGCTACCATTTAAATGTTAAAACATTATGGAAATGGATAACTTAATTAGCAACTGAAAATTTGAATAATTATTCTAGAAAAACATACTTTTCGATGGTTATTGATACTCCCATTGACGTACATAAATGGTCCTTTGAAAATAATACGCGGGCTATTCACTGAATCGTACATTGTTCGGTTCTCGTTTAATGTGAAATTGTGAATGTTTCAATTAATCATTGCTGAAATTTCAACAATTATCCCAGCAATGGATAGGTACATTGGACTCGCGTGGGTGGGTGGGTATAACCCGGGTAATAGGCAACATTACATTTTGCTCTATTTAATATCTGTAGGTATTTAGATGAGTGAGATGTGTGAATCAAAAATAATTTTAAAAATAACTTAATAAAAAGTTATACAGGGTGGAAACGATAAGTGATCTCACCCGATTATTTCTAAACTATACAAGATATCGAAAAACTGGTTACTGATCCTGAAAGTGCTTCATAAGCTCTTTCAAACGGTGCCAATAACAGGTTTCAGAATAATCTGGAACTATCCGAAAATTCAATGTTTCCAGCTTCCATACATTTGGTAAAGTTACATATTTTAAAAAACTACACAAGATATCGTAAAACTGGTTACTGATCCTAAAAGTGCTTCACGAGTTCTATCCAACGGTATCAATGTCAAGTTACAGAATAAACTGGATCTATCCTAAAATTAAATGTTTCCGTCTTCCATACATTTTGTACTATCACAGTCATTGCACTCATCTCTTGATAATTTTATAGCAAGTAAAACCTAAAAGTAATGTATTTCACAAATAATTTTAAATAAGATGCAAGTTACAAGTTTATTTAACCGACTTTTTAAGTTTATTATTTAACAAAAAATAAATTACACTTCTAATATTGTGTCATCGCCATACATTTAGTATGGAAGCTGGAAACATTGAATTTTGGGGTAGTTCCAGTTTATTCTTTAACCTATTATTGATATCGTTTGAAAGAGCTTATGAAGCACTTTCAGGATCAGTAACCAGTTTTTCGATATCT